GGTGCTGCCCCTCAGCGTGGCCTGGGGCCGGAGGGGACAGACGCTTCTGCCTCCTTCCTCCGGGGGACTTCTCTGGGTACATTTCTAGAGCTCCTCTCCATTAACTGTCTGCGTGCATGGAAGACCTGGGAGAGGCTTTGCAATTTCTGTGTTTCCTTTCTCCAACCCTCCAGATGAAAAAAGAGAAGTATGGAGACTAATCTCTCTGCAGCTGTGAATTCTGTTTCCTCCTCAGGAGGCACAAGTGATGGCAGTTTGTTAGGTTTTAAATATTCTTTTCACGCTGCCACTTTCATTTGCATCTGGTCCTGCTCCCTGTCCTAGGTTGTGTTAGATCATCCTCGTGTGACAGGAACTGAATCTGTTCTCCTTTTTTCTCCACATAACTTCAGTGATGTCCTTGTGCATAATACTCACTAAATCTTTGTTTAATCCATGAATCTTAAGCAAGTAAAGTCGTTAAGCTTAAGGGATTTGGCTGAACTGAGCTGTATACGTAAGTGCCCCATTTTGCAAGGGCAGTTTCTAGTAGTCACCCTAATGGCCTTAAGGTATTTCCAGAAGCTTTAGGGTTAGGAGGAGGATTATACTGCTGCATTACCTAGTCAATGACTTGAGGCTATTTGTAACCTCAGGGACTCCAATTATTTTGGACATAATTGTAACATTTGCCTTCCAGTGTCCGGACATAACTTATCAGTACCCAACGGGCAAAAATAACATTTGGGGATGCATCCCAAGTTGATAAGCATGTCTGCATATACTGGATGGTCCTGGTCACTCCTTAGCACAACAGTGCAAACATTCACGCTCTTTGCTGTTACAGGAATCCTTTCCCAGTCCTGAGGCCAAGTCTCCTTGTGAGGAGACCTTCCAGGACATCACAGCAGAATTAACTTTCACTCCTTTCCCAAACTTCTTTATACTCTACCAGTGCTGTTGGAAGTTTCATTTTTGTGAGAAAGGTAATGACATTGAGAACCACCACCAGCAGTACCATTTATGAGGGTCTGTGGTGTGCCTGGCCCCGTGCTGGGCACAGGGACACACAGTTAGTGTAGCAGACACCCACTGTCTGAGCCATATCCTCATACATAGCTTTGAGGGGGGCACTTTGTGACAACAGCCTTGTATGCACTCTCTGCCCAATCCGATGCTGTGTGGGGGGCCTAGTTGGGAGATGGGAGAGGTGCCACCCCTGGGTGTGGCCTGAGACCAGGAGGGGGCAGGTGCTCCCTCCAGAGGATTTCTCCAGGTGCATCATTCCCAGGAAATCCTGGCGGCACGGCTGCCCTGTTGACCACAGTGTGGGCTTTGGGAACACACCCTACATTGACTTTCCTTCCTCCTGGGATGACCTCCCAGATGAACTATCTTTACCCAAGTCCTTATCTCAGGCTCTGTTTCAGGAACACCCAGACCCTCCTTTGCATATGGAGTGCAGTAGAGGAGCCATACACTGATAATCACATTAAGTAAAATTATACTATCTCTGCTCTGAAAAGTGCTTTAAAGGAAGAGGCACTTGTTTCAGTGAGAGGCGGATCTAGCGCTGAGGATCCAGAGGGTAATCATTAGGCTCCAGTGGGTCAGGGTAGGGAAGTGCTGTGTGCAAAGGCCCTCGGGCAGGAGGGAAAGTGTGGCTGCAGCCTGAGGGAGGGAGGCTTGAGAGACAGGTGAGGGCTGACCATGTGAGACTTGGTAGATCATGCTAAGGATCTTGGTCTTTATCCAAGAATGGTGGGAAGACTTCAAAGGGGTTTTAAACATGGCTGTGGAGAGGCTTGTTGGGAAACTGTTGAATTAGTCTGTTAGAGATGGTGGTGTGGACTGGAGAGGAGATAGAGAGAGTTGGGTGTGCAGGGAAGATACTGGGGAGGAGCAGTCAGCAGCCTGGGAGGTGGGCTGGAAGTTGGAAGTGTTAGTTTTCATTGCCCTCAGGCTGTAGAAGTTGGGAGTAGACAGCCTGCAGCCTGGAGGTTCTACAGGTCTGTGCTGGCTGCTGCCCACCTAACCATCTGATACCTGCCACCCCCTGAGGTAGGTCATGTCCCTGTGACTGAGAAAGTGGTGGAAGCAAGGTTTAAATCTAGGACTTCTCATGGAGGCACTGTCTCTCTTCTGTTGACTTCTAAATGGCAAGCTATTCTATTTCGGTTCCATTTCCCTCTTCAAGGAATTCTGTGGATAAGAAACCATCTGGTACCTTATAATCATTCTTAGACAAGGGTAGCCCTTAGTAGCAGTGGTAAACATTGCAACCTGATTTTACATTGTTTGATTCAAGTTCAATCTGAATGGCTAGAGCTCCCCTCACGGGAGATACATGACGCACCTTTTGGGAAGCAGTTGTCAAAGATGCTTTGCAGTGTAAAGTTGCATAGAATCTTGGTAAAGTGTAATCATCTGCACCTGTTTGAAGTTAGACACCAAAAGAAAATAAAAAATGGACAATGGACATACACAAGGGATTATATTGTGAAAGCATAGAAAAAATGGTTGGTGGCCTATGTAGAGAAATTTTAGTATACAGGAAATTTTAGTATAGAAAAGCCATGCTATATTATACTATTAACCTGTATAGCAACTAAAATACATAAGAAAAATAAAAGCAAGTTCAGATGATTCGCCTTGTCTTCAGTTTTGAGTTACTGTGTAGCTTCCCACTATTATTTAAGTGAAGAAAATGAACCAGTAGAGATATTGAAGAAACCAATCGTCTGACTGTTTTTAAGTATACTGTGAATTTTGCCATCTTATGTGTAACCTGCAGTGTGCTATCTTTTTTTTAAAGTTGAAACTTGGTTTACTTTGGCTAGTTTTAAACCCCTCTACCAGGTAGGGAGCACTCATTATACAATGTGTTCTCCTAAGGCAGTTCCTCAGAAGTTTCTTTATGATGAGTTAAACAGGGAAATGTAAATAACCAAGGGCCTTAAAAACCTGAGGGCAAATTGATTGTCTTAGTCTTTTAAAGGGAATTTTATGTTAGAGTGATGGTGCCCTGAGACGGGGGTGGGACTCAGTTTCTGAGAAAAGCCTTTCTTTATGTGTGTCTTCACTACTGACACTGTGGTTCATCTGGGGTTTTGAGCATACAAAAAATACTTTTTGAAAGTGTTTTCCTAGAAATGAGCGGGTGTGCAATGCTTTCTGGACAGCTTTGGACCATGTCTCTATGGACTCTTGAACCTGAAATAACATTGGATTTATGGATGACAGGAAGAAAGTGGAAGCAGCATTTCAGAATGGATTTAGCAAATTAGATTCCATTCCAGAACTTGTTTGTTTACTATGTCATTCATTCAACAAACACTCATTGCCCGTGCAGTCTTCACTGCGCCCTGTGATAGGAATGCTGAAGAAAGCCTTGTAGAACAGAGCCTGTGCCCTAGCGAAACAGGTGGGCATATGAGCAGAGAATTTCTGTGTCCTGTGGTAGGTGCTCTAACAGATTTATATGAGGTGCAGTGATATACCTGATACAAAGATTTAGGATCCCTCTGATGTGATATTAGGAAAGAACCATGTAAGTTGGTCTTGCCAATGAAGAGAAATTTGCCAAGCCATTAAAGCAGAGGGGAGCATTTTAGCCAGGATGGAAGGCATGGAGGTGTCGGTGTACGTGGCATGCCATGGGCTGCCAGGAGCTGTGTTGGTGGCTGGTGGGAAAGGAGCTGCAAGGGTCAGTGGAGTTTTGTGTGCCAGGAGAAGAGGTTTGGGACTTTTAATTGGAAGAGATGGAGGTGATACTGAAACGTTTCAAACCAGAGCATAACAGGGTCAAATTTGGGCTTTAGAGTTTTTCTCTGTGGAGGAGAGATTTGTGGATGGATAAAAGACTGGGAAGACCATAGTTGGAAACAGTAGAGTCAGAGGTCGGGTCAGCTCCTGTGTCTGAATGAACACAGACAGAGAAGGAGAGGGGGGCATGTGTGATGGAGACACGGAGGGGGTAGGAGGCGGAGGACTGACTGACAGACACCCAGACGTGTCAGCTGAGGGAAAGGCAGAAAGCCCAGGATAACTGATGAGTTTCTGTGTTTTGTGAGGAGCCGAATGGAGGGGCCTTTGTCCTAATGTGGGTACACAAAACTGGGGCATTTGGGGCAGGGCAGTTGGAGATAAAATTAGTTTGTGTCATCTTGATTTTGAGGTGGTACGTCTGGTAGGTCAAAAGTGGGTCTGGGGCTGAGAGGAACTATTTAAGCTGGGGATGGAGACTGGGTGGCCACCAAGGGTAGTGAAGCCATGAGGTCCTGGAAAGAAATTCTGAAGGGGAGGAGGTGGGGACCAAGCCTGCGGCTGAGGAACGTCCCAGGAAGTGGATGAGGCTGAGCAGTGAGAGGGTGGGGGGGTGGGGGAAGGAATTAGACAGAGGAAAGAGCTCAAGAAGTTGCATAGAGAACATTTCTTATTTTAGATTTTGTGGCAAATGAAAAATGTTCCTGAAGACATGATAGTCTATGGTATGTGGAATTAAAATCCACATTTCCTATTAGGAACAAAACCAGTTTTCTTTTAGATATCACTTATAAGTTGGTATTTATCATGCCTTAAATCTGCTGTTAAAGTTTAGAAAGTAAAGGACTTTATATAAAGACTCTGTACTAGATGCATTGTTATCCATCTTTGGTTGTCCCTGGTCCTTTTCCTGTTTCAGATGGACTAAGTCCTTTTATAGAAGGTCTGAGACTGTAGCCAAGTCCTGCTTTATAAAATTACAACACACACAAATATTTCTTTCCACTTCAGTTTTATTTCCTCTGATTATAAGCCCCGTTTCTCCCAGGGGCTATGTTTTTACCAGGATTTACAGAGCCAGAGAGTGAGGCTTGACTGCACACCTACTACATCATTGAGGGAAAATTAGAATGGAAGGGACTCTGGTCTCCACTTAGCGGTGAGCTACCCCACCTCCACATAATTAAAAGCCTGTCATAATTTCCGCTTCAATGTAATGTTTTCCTACCTGCAGGAGACACCCTTAGAAGAGAAATCTAAACCTTCCTGTAAGGTAGAGTGGAAGTGCCTCCCAACAGATACTCGTTAGCATCTTTCATACTCAAGATGGAAGATCTTCCAGACATCAGCCTTCCCACAACATCCCTTTGAGGCTAGTAGCTGGAAAGTGCAGAGTGAGTCTGGATAGGGAAGAAGACCTAAGGCGGCTGTTTTCCAAAGCAACTTGTTATAGTTCAACACTAGAACCAAGGTACAGATTTCAAGATCAGAAAGAAGACTCATGGCAGCACAGTCCCGTATTGATGACGCCATTATACCAGGTCCTACACAAATCATATTCATTCATGCTTGATCAATAACTGATACTGTTCTTGATTTCCTGACGTGGGTACAAGGATTCTAGCCAAAGACAGTCTCTACCAGCAAACCTGGGTCATGAGCTACTGCCCACATCAGAGTTAATTCATTTCTAAAGTTAGTCTTTGTAAAATAGCATACTGTGACTTTAAAAGATCTGGATAAGGTTTAAGTATATTAATCTTCTCTAATAAGTTGAATATAATGATAAGTTTATTTGACATGTTTTTCGAATTATTATTATCAGTAAGCCTTTTCCTTATATGTTCATTAAGGTCTTTCTAAGGGACTAAGAGACTATTAGTTCCTAAACTGTGATGGGTGATGGATGGACTTTCTGTCTTGAGAATGAATCCCAGTGCTATTTAAAACAGTAATAGAATCTCAGAGAGTTGTTAGACAGTTGTTCTCTGTGGAGGAGAGATTTGTGGATGGACAAAAGACTGGAAAGACCATAGTCGGAAACAGTAGAGGCAGAGGTCGGGTCAGCTCCTGTGTCTGAATGAACACAGTGCAGAGAAGGAGAGGGGGACATGTGTGATGGAGACATGGAGGGGGTAGGAGGCCGAGGGTAGGAGGCGGTAGAGAGCTAGTGATGGGGCCACCAACGATCGTCTCATGACCAGCGCCTGGGGGGTTAGAGGACAGAAGTTGGGTAACTGATACAATGGCGAGAGATGGATTGGGCCCCAGAGCAGCTCTGGATGAGGATTTGGGGAGCAGGTGCACCTCTGGACAATGATGGGGAGTGCAGGGCAGGATGTGGTTGGATGGTGACCCCGGCCCCTCCAGTGACTCTCTGTTCTTACTGTGGGAAAGGAATAGTGTGAGCTGGGAAAGGGAGACCGAGCTAGATTAAATATTCATGTTTGATAAAGTTTAAAAGTCCTCTCGCTAATTAGTATGGAAAATGTTTAAAAACATGCTTCATGCCATTGGAATAATTTTAACAAAGGCAAGTTTTGTTATAACAGAAAGATTAAAGAGAAGCTAAAATAACACATTGGCCTTTTTTGCACCATTATTTTGGAAGTTTAAAAAATCCAACAGCTGATTGTTGAAGAAAACCTTTACCTTTGTCTTTTTATTTTAGTTTTCTTGGGGGTTGAAGATACGATGACTCCACCTCTTCTTTCCTTGCCTAAAGTCACATGGGGATCCCTAGGATTTTGAGTAAGTGAGAACAAGACTTGACAAAGGGACTCATATAAAATAATGGTGAAGGAGAGAATGTGTGCAGTATTGTTACTGGGACAGGAGCCAGGTGACCCCTAGGGCAGGAGGAGGGTGGTGGTCAGCAAGGCTGGGGGCCAACCTGCAATGCAGGGTAGAGCCTGAAAGAGTTATTAATAGGAATTGGGCTGGACTCTCAGACATGTTGGGTGGGTTACCAGTAAGAGGCTTAAGAGGTAGGAAGGGATGGAGCTTTTTTCTGGGCCTGGAAATTTTGGTTCTAGGGAAGTTATGTTCCTAGACTATGTCCCTGTAAATGTATTCTATGGGCGAAAAATCAATACATGTCTATGTTACTATCCTCTCCCCACCTCCTTCCCACTTTCAGCTGTTTTCTAATTGAGGTTTCAGTTATTCATCCTCATGAAGTGATAGGTCGGTCATAAGATACCTGTGGGAAATCGGTTGCTAATTCCGTGCTGAAGTCATTAGAATTAAAGGTCTGAAATACTTTCAATCCAAAAGAATCCTGGGACTATAGTTGTTAAGGGACAGACAAATAGTTTAGCTGCAGTACCTGCAATTTGATAACTAACTGCTAATTGGTGGGATGCTCTGACTTTGTCCCTGGTGAAGGGGAAGATTGATGCCCGCATGAAGCGCAAAATCCAGGAAAGGTAACATAGCAACACTGTCAGCCACATCCAGCTACTGAGGACTTGAAATTCACACAGCCTTTCCCCCGAGATTCCTTTTATACTGAATAGACAGACTCCATGTTTAATAAAGCGGCCGTAATTTATGCTAATTTCTCAACAACTCCCATAGCTTGTTGTACATTGGGTCCAGAGGACAGGAGCCTGTTTATTCTGCAAACTCCTAAAGCATGCTGAGTGCCTTTCTTAGCGACAGCTAATTTCTTTTTAAAGAACAGCAGTCCTATAGGCTTAGCCTTGTGCTAAACTCAGGAACAGATTTAACAATAACCTGCCTGTTCAGAAAGCTCCCTTGCTTGTTGAAGGAGATTTCAGTGCTCTCTACTGGATTGAATTACTCTTGATTGTAGAATACTGTGAAAAGTTTTAGAATATTGCTATAGATACTGACATATGACCGTCTCCAAGTCTGATTGTGTAGGTTTCTCAATTTACATTTTCCTTTGAACTGCAATTAACCCACCTACTCAGTTCCTAGAGAAATATTTTTAAAGAATTGTTTTATAGTTTGTTAGTAACGTTTAGGCCTGGTCTTGCTGTGACTGAGTCATCTTGCTAACCTTGCGCTTGTTAAAAATAATTCAGAGTTTTTATTTGTGTTGCTCACTCTGGAAGAAAGCCTGCATTTCTTTCTGCAGGCTGGAAACCAGGACAAGAAGGGAGAACTAACATTTATTAATTCACATTTATTAATGTGGATGAGGCCCTATCTCAGGTAATTTTTAAAGAAGTTTCTCACTTTGTTTTCACAGAAGTCCCAGGAGGTGGGCGTAATCATTTCCATTTTGTATGGAGGGAATTTGACAGATGGCCTAACGTCAGGGATGACGGAGGGGCAGTGTCTGGGGTTTGTCCCTAACTCCTCACCATGTGCTTTGCTGTTCTTATGAATGGGCTCTTTTTTTTATTTTGCAAACACACTTTGGGATTTCTCAGTTCATTTTCATCAGTACGAACTGCCTTACAGTTGATGTCCATTCAGTTTTGGATGGCGATGGGCCAGTGCTAGCGGCAGGGACTACCGGTTGCTGGCTTGTGACTTTTGCTTTTCTAGGTTATCTTCTAATGACAAAAGCTCAGGTGACAGCTTGGACTTGAGGACGCCCATTGTGGGGCGTCCTGATCTGCTTCCCTCTCTGCGTTCGCTCCACCCTTTGCTCCTTCACACTCGCTGCTTCTCTGTGTCTGTCTGGGACTCAGAATTCCAGGTCTCTCTGCTCTGCATGTGTGCTGCCCACTGTACGAGAACGCAGGGCCTGCCTGGTCCTCTTGTCCAGGTCCTCAAGGCTGGGCCCAGCAGCAAGCCCGGCGTCCTGACGTCCTTGTCTGAACTCCTCCAGGGCTGCTTCCTGGCTCAGTGGTGCTCCCGTGGGTGTCATCCCTGGGCGGTCTTTCTTGATCCCAGTCTGCTCTTGTCCCTGGATGTAGCATCTGCCTGTATCTCTGGACATAGTTCCTCTGCATCCTCCAAACGTCTTTTTAAAAAGTCCTGTAGTTTATGATAGAGGTTGATGGTTTCTTTTAGGTTTGTTTTGTTTTCTTCTACTTTTTAACTGGATCCAAATTGTATCTTCCTCTAGTTTGGCTTGATGATCTTAGTGGTGTTGTTACTGAGAATGTCCATCTGGGATAGACTGAATGGATTCCGTTTTGTTTGGTCGTGGTCCGTCTGCTCTCTTTCCTCTCCCCTGCCCCTTCCCTTTGATACCAAGGGAAGTTTCTGGCATTCTTCACAGTGCCATCTTACTCCCATCCCAGATGATCAGTTTGTCTTGCTTCTTCCTATAATTTTTAATGTCTTTGCTCTCTTTTCTCCCCTTCTAACCCTTTGATAGGTGTGCTGTGCCTGATTCATCCATATGCGTTCACAACGCCTAGCACAGCACCTTGCTTATATAATTGGGGCTTTAAATTGGTGTCTAAATGTAGAATGAGTTGTCATCTAGCGTCAGTGCAGCTGGAGGTTCAGGTGTACATAGTGTGAAACTATAGGCTGAATTTCCATGGGTCCTGGTATTGGCTTTGTTCAAAAAGTTCCTAATGTCAGTGTGCTTCTTGGGTCATTTCGATTAGCCCCTAAGGATAGAATAGAACAGCAACAGCTGCTGGCCACTGGGAACTCTAATGTGCCCTTTCCTGCAAAATTAATCGATGAATCATGATGCAAAGTAGCCTTCTGTTAGGGTTTCTCTCACCCTCCAGTAAGGCATAGTTATCTGTACTGTGGCTATCAGTTTTGTATTTCTTAGCATTGTTCAAAACCTTATCTCCCATTTCCATACCATTGACACAAGAATCACAAGGGCCTTCTCTGTGAGCTGGTACCCCTTTATCTCACTCATACTGTTTGTTGATGCGAGGACACCAAAACATTATGAAGGGTGTTGAAAAGCGAACTTTCTACAAACTCTACAAATTATTTATTTTCAGAAGTGAAAGTATACATTTTGTGGGTGAGGTGTATAGCCACAGGTTTTCTTTTTCCTAAATATTTTATTTTGAACAGAAGTTTAGGTAATACTAACAGGACATCTTCAAGTGTCAAATCACATATGGCATCTTTTAAGTTATAGAGATATTAAAGTGCTGTGTGTTATTTTGTTATAAAAAGAGCATCTGAAATAATGTTTCATGTCCTAATCAACATTGCCAGCCTTGGGATGAATCAATGAGAGGACTGGATAACACTTAGAGCACTCTGGGAAAGAGCCTTGCTTGGGATAAAGTGCTTTTCTGGTGCGTTCTACTACAGCATGAACTTTCTCAGCTAAGCTGACTCTTAAGTCTTTGTTTCCTGGAGGCCCACAGGAAGGGGGCCAGTCAGAAAATATTTCTTTGTCCATTGAAGCATTAGCTTATGCTCTGTCTCCAAGAAAGAAAAGTGTAGCAGCTCTCAAAAGGAGGCTGGTATATTGTAATCATCTACAGTATCATTTTGTAGATGTTCATTTTGTAGTCTGTAGTATTAGAGCATGCAAGAATAAGTCTTAACATATTCCACTTAAATCCAGGGATTCTTGAATCACCTGCTACTGTAAATGTAGAAATGACTAGCACCACCATTTGCTCCTTCCTTCCTTCCTTCCTTCCTTCCTTCTTCCTTTCCTCGCCCTTATAGTCATTCAATAATTATTTTCTATAAGGCATTGTGAAAGGGATCAGTGATTACACTGTCTTTATAATTCCTCTGAAGCCCCCTCTCCCCCAACACATTTCTTTTCCTTAATGTGCCATTTTTCAGCAGTTATGTCTAGCCTTGGAGTGAGGTGAAGTTATTCTTTTGGAAATGCATCTGACGCAGTCAGCTGAGCTCTGTAGCAGAGGTAGGAGTCCCCTAATTGATTATTTCCTGGGAAGAACTCACCCAGCCCAGGCAGGCAGGTATGTGCCTTATCTGTAACTTTGCCTTATCAGGCTTATCTGTAGCTTTAGGTTCCTTGAGAGCCATTCATTCCACAGGTATTTCTTGAGGGCTGTTTAATATGTGATTCCCTATAGATGGCTCAGAATCTGTAACAGATTTGAACACACATTCTGATATAAAAGTGGTTGATGAATTAGTTTTTTATTTGCATTGTCAGATGCTTGCCCTTTCAAGTGATGTGTGCACATTTATTTCCTGTTTCGGGTCAGCAAATTCTTTCTTTTTTCCCTCCCTTTCACTGAAGGACCATTTGAATCCTTGTTGTAGGGTAGCATCTACTTGTGTCTTGCTCTGTCGCTCACACCATCTTTTATCAGCTGTTGTGTTGTGTTAATTTAATAGTTATTCAGTGGTCCTCATTCAGTTTCATGTACTTCTTTCATCCCTGTGCTGCTTCCGTTGCTGGAAAGAAATATGTTGCTCAATCTAAGGACGGAATAAAAGAAATGATAATATTGTACAAATGCAAGCTGTTCTTGTAATGAGTAAGTGGATATAATGTCCACCTGTAGTTCCTTTAGCTATTAAAGTGGGGCGTTTTGCCTTATAAAGGTTATGAAGATTGGGCCCTATTCTGCTGAAAGCTTGTGTTGGTGAAACTAAATAGGTGGGACAATATAATGGATGGAGAGGGATAAAAAAGGCAACCGTACTGGGCAACCATACAGTTGTCTTTTGTCAAAGGCAGCATCTGATTCCATTAGTTCTTTGTGCAAGAACAGTGGCTTAGTATCAGCGTGAGAGGCTGATGAAATGGTGATTTGATGAAGTCTTACAGCTCGTCATGAGGCAGTTTTAACTAATCCTTGAAACAAGTCACAGACTGGTTTGTTAGCTGAGAGGCCCTGCTACTTTGTAGA